GCGCAAATACTTCTAACACGTGACAGGAGACCTAACGACTCAGGCGGAAACCAAAACTTGGACAGTCCGAAAGCCGGACCGGAGTGTTGGACGACAGAACAAGTGCTCAAAGGGATTGACCGGTCAAGAGAGGAGTAAGAATTAAGAATTAAGAATTCGAACACTTACCGGCTCCACCAATCCGTCGGAGTCCAGCTTGTCGAAGCTGCCGAGATACATTTTGGCTGTCTTCGTTGGGTCCGGACGCTCGATCCTCTCTTTCAGACCTCTCTTCCCGTCCACCGTCTTCTCTTCGTCCCTGCACGAGGTACACGTCACAAATGAACCTCGACGCTCCGTCGTTTGTAGGATGATGTATCAAATTCAAGAAGATTAGTAGTAAGCCGAGATAATAGTGAGGTAACCACACTGGGACGGGTAGAGTTAGTATGGTGGTTAGGGTGGGTAGGGGTGCGGAGCGGGTGTCTTTTTGGGTTAGGATTTTAGGGTTAGTCGGAGCTTATTATTATCTTGGCTTACTATTATCTCTCTTGAGTTTTAAATGATGTGCGTGAAGGGCTTAACGTCAAGTAAGTGTCCCCTTTGACAACTTTAAATGATACGACGTAAGTGCTCTCTCCATCTTATTAATTCAGAGAAGAGATACCTGAATCACGGCTGCGGCGCATCTGCCTCTCGAACCTGCTACTCCTCATTCCCCTTCACAGCCACGCAAAATCAGAGACCTGAACTGGACTGGCTGGATATAATTGAACTTCAAAATCGAAGTTCGTCTGGTCCAGAACAATCCTTGTTTTACAACCTCACGAGGGTCCTGAACTATTCAAGAGCCTTCAAAAATAGAACGCTATACCCTCCGTCACTGAAACCTAAAGAGTAGCCTCGGGCCCCAGAAAACAGCAGTGCAGAAACACGAGCGCTTCTCGAGCCGTTTTACCGGGCAAGCCATACCTGATCGTCCTGTAGTAAAGCGACCGGAAGAGCCCCCGGTCGATGAACGCCTGATTCATAATCACAGTGTCCTCCTGGTTATACCCCGAGTAGCACATAATCGCCACGATCGCGTTTTGGCCCGCGCGCAGCTCCCGAAAGTGCGAACACCCCGCGCCACGTGTCGTCACCAGCGGCTTCTGCGGGTCGCACAGCACGTGCGTCGTCGTGTCCAGCCTCAGCTGGTAGTTAGTGAGGGGGATCCCGCAGGATTGCGTCGCCATCTTGGCCTGCATCGTGTTCCGGACCGGCTGGTTGTGGTCCGGGAACGGAACGGCGGAACCGCAGGCGCCGAAGATGAGCGACGGGTGGATCTCGCAGTGGGCATAGCTGACGTCGGCGAGAGCGTCGCGCGGGCGCGCGCGAGCGCGCGCGAGGTCGGCGAGGGTCATGGCGACCATGGCCGTCTCTTCCTCCGCCGCGTCCAGATATTCGATGCCGCCCGCGGCGAGCAGCGCGCGCCAGCAGACCGGGCCGCCGTCCTGCAAGGTTTGGAGGGTTGGAAAAGGGGTTTGAGTTCTTTTCGAGCAGTCAATCTGATTCGCTCTATAGAATAATTGTTGTAAGCTCAGGTTGTAACGCTGGGACGGGTGGGTTGGCAAGGGGGATGTATAGGGTGGGCACGGGTGCGGAATATGTAAACTTTTGGATTCAGGACTTTAGTGTTAGCTTCGTTCGTGTTATAACTTGAGCTTAGTATAAGTATCTTAGAGGATTTTTCGATTTGAGGGTTGTGGTCTTTCCTGGAAGCCTCGGGCGGCCTGCTCTACGAAAACGAGAAAGTACTGGGATGGGATGTAGAACGGCCGACGAGGGTTGTCGAAAGACGTCCCGGGTTGATGGAAGGTGTTTAGGTAAGAGGGATCGTGATTAGGTAAGGCGAATCCAACGTTTTCAAGAAGGTGCTGATAAGAACGATACGAATAGTTCACAATTGCAGGGTTTTGCTGGCGGTAATATACCATGCTCTTTTGATGTGCTTTCATGTCGAGAAACGTATAGTTGATCTTGTACCTGACCCTCTCAGAAACACGAAATATCTGATTTGGGGATGGTTTCAATCCAGAACCCGTGAGTCCTGAGATCAATCTTTTGTGCTTCGCTATTCCCAGTATCATAAATAGCTTCCAAGTCTTACTTCAGATTAATAAAAAGCCAGACACAAAATTTTCTTGTCTTCTTTCAAAAACCTCGGCAAAAGCTAAACTTAACCCTTTAGCTCCTTAAACCTACCTCGTTGTTGGTCTCCTCTCGCCGCGCCCGTTTCTTCATCACCGGCTTCCCGTTTTCCACCACGAACAGCGGCCGGCAGAGCCTTCCGGCGTCCGTGTGCAGCCTGAGCTCTCCGTTGCGGACGTCCGGAACGATGCCCAACTCGGTGTTACCGCCCACCTGGCGCCGCAGCTGGCGCAGCGTTGACACCAAAAGCTGTGGGTCCCGGTGGACGCCCACCCAGGCGCCGTTGACAAAAATCTTGGTCGATTCGGCGAGAGCGCTCGGTGAAATGTTCTGAAGAGGAAAAAGGGTGGTGTGAATCGGAATGTGCTTCCGGCTCTCTGCGATAACACTTGGGGATAACTTCCAAAAAGCGGTGACAAGGGCCAGCAAAACAGTCGGGAAATGCTTCTCCTACTGGGGATGCTTCAACTGGAAATATGTTTGTGGTCGTCTCGGTAGAAAGCCTAGAACAGTTCAGAAAGTCGACAGAATAGACTAAAAGCAATCCGCTGTAAAGCGAAATCAAAGAGAAAACGGGGACTGCCGCCAAGCTCCACCCCCTGTCTCGTTTCACCTTTCAAAAGTCTGTTCGTTACTTACAGAAGGCATTATTACACCCTTTTGACAAGGGCGCAGCGATATCCTCACGCCAAAACACACCTCTTCCGCAGAAAAACACAGGTCCAGGATATTGCACCTTGTTTAAATGATGTCCCTCTTACATCTCAAGGCTAATCTTAAG